GCGGTGGGCTCGGCGCTCCGGGAGCCCCGCAGGCAGCGCCGCCTCTTGCTGGTCATCGTGTGCGTGGCGCTCTTCCTGGACAACATGCTGTACATGGTCATCGTGCCCATCGTGCCCGACTACATCGCCCACATGCGCGGGGGCAGCGAGAACCCCACCCCGACCCCGGAGGTGTGGGTGCCCACCCTGCCGCCGCCCACTCCAGCCAATGCCAGTGCCAGCTCCACGGCCAACAGCTCAGGGTCCCCGACGGCTGCGCAGCCCGCCGGGTCTGCCCTGCGGCCCCGCTACCCCACGGAGAGCGAGGACGTGAAGATCGGGGTGCTGTTCGCCTCCAAGGCCATCCTGCAGCTTCTGGTGAACCCGCTAAGCGGGCCCTTCATCGACCGCATGAGCTACGACGTGCCGCTGCTCATCGGCCTGGGCGTCATGTTCGCCTCCACCGTCCTGTTCGCCTTCGCCGAGGACTACGCCACGCTTTTCACGGCGCGCAGCCTGCAGGGCCTGGGCTCCGCCTTCGCCGACACGTCCGGCATCGCCATGATCGCGGACAAGTACCCCGAGGAGCCGGAGCGCAGCCGCGCGCTGGGCGTGGCGCTGGCCTTCATCAGCTTCGGCAGCCTCGTGGCGCCGCCCTTCGGGGGCATCCTCTACGAGTTCGCGGGCAAGCGCGTGCCCTTCCTGGTGCTCGCCGCCGTGTCGCTGTTCGACGCGATCCTGCTGCTGGTGGTGGCCAAGCCCTTCTCGGCCGCGGCGCGGGCGCGGGCCAACCTGCCGGTGGGGACGCCCATCCACCGCCTCATGCTGGACCCGTATATCGCCGTGGTGGCCGGCGCGCTCACCACTTGCAACATCCCCCTCGCTTTCCTGGAACCCACCATCGCCACGTGGATGAAGCACACGATGGCGGCGTCGGAGTGGGAGATGGGCATGGTCTGGCTGCCGGCCTTCGTGCCTCACGTGCTGGGCGTCTACCTCACGGTGCGCCTGGCGGCGCGCTACCCACACCTGCAGTGGCTCTACGGCGCGCTGGGGCTGGCGGTGATCGGTGCCAGCTCGTGCGTGGTGCCCGTCTGCCGCTCCTTCGCGCCGCTGGTGGTCTCGCTCTGCGGCCTCTGCTTCGGCATCGCGCTGGTCGACACGGCCCTGCTGCCCACGCTCGCCTTTCTCGTGGACGTGCGCCACGTTTCCGTCTACGGAAGCGTCTATGCCATCGCCGACATCTCCTATTCCGTGGCCTACGCGCTCGGGCCCATCGTGGCGGGCCACATCGTGCATTCGCTCGGCTTCGGGCCGCTCAGCCTTGGCATGGGCCTGGCCAACCTGCTCTACGCGCCTGTCCTGCTCCTGCTGCGCAAGGTGGGCCTCCTGACGCGCTCCCGCTCCGAGCGCGAGGTGCTGCTCGACGAGCCGCCGCAGGGTCTGTACGATGCGGTGCGCCTGCGGGAGTGCCCCGTGTCAGACCCGCACAGCGCGCCTCGCAGCCCGTCCGGCCCGTTTGCCGAGAGCGAGAGCGACTACACCGACTACTGCCCCCGCAGCTAG